AAAAAAGTTAAAAAAACTGATTTTGACCATTTTTTTAACTGAGGCTTCTGAAAGTTCAGAAGAATCATCTAAAGATAATTTGAGTGCATTCATGGAAGAGACTGCGCCCCCCTTCGTCGTTTGTTGAATGAAAAAAAAATAAGAAAAAAAAAGAAAAAGAAAAGTTAAAAAAAAAAAAAAAAAAAAAAAAAAAAAAAAAAAAAAAAAAAAAAAAAAAAAAAAAAAAAAAAAAGAAAAAGAAAAAAAAAAAGAAAAAGAAAAAAAAAAGAAAAAGAAAAAAAAAAGAAAAAGAAAAAAAAAGCTTCACACCTGCCAGGGCTGCTGCACCCCTCTCCCCTCTTATCTGACTCACCTAGAGCCTGCCGTCTTCACCCGAAAAGAGCGCCCGGTCATTATCGCTGCATCTGGACTGAAAGTAGTGGGCCAAATGCAGCTATAATGACCGGGCGTTCTATTCGGGCGAAGACGGTAGCTGGCAAACAGTGGACTGAGTAAGCAAACAGCGACGGATGACCAGTTTTCCGTTTCGGAGAAACTGCAGCCGATTGACTGTTAAGCCACCAGTACTTGGCCCAGCTGTCGGCCGGGGAAAAATTTCCTAAAATCGTGGTTTGTTAACGGGCACGACTTTAAGAAATACTGGTGGTGTGATTACCCAGGCAGGTCCTGTGAAACCAGACAATCTCCTTCGTTTGCTAATCAGCAATGATTGGAACCCTTCCCGATCTGAGATTCGATCATGGCCTTCAGCTGGTCGAAACCACAGTGCTCGCGTTATGACTCCTCTACAAGCTTGGGCGACGATTTGATGATGGCCTTCAGCGGGTCGAAACCACAGTGTGCTCCCGTTATGACGACTCTACGAGCTCGGGCGACGATTTGATCATGGCCTTCAGCTTGTGGAAACCACAGTGCTCCCGTTATGGCCTTTTCTGTATCTTTTCATCCCTGAACAGTTTCTGATTGCATAATGGCAAACCACAGTGCTCCCGTTATGACCCCTGGACAAGCTTGGGCCAGGCAGGCCCATCCCGAGTCTGTCGACGAAAAAGGCGTCAGTGGCCAGAGTTTGCCTGCAATGGGATGGCGGAGGCCATATACCCAGCCCAGGCCAGGTGTACCCAATGGGCTAGGAACAGGTGCTGTTGTAAACCACCAGTTTTCGTTAGTGACCAGAGATTGCCTGCAATGGGGTGGCAGAGGCCATACCCAGCCCAGGCCAGGTGTACACAAAATTGGCTAGGAGCAGGTGCGGTTTTAAAATCCTAGCGCCCACCCGGTCGGAAGAATGGTCGCAGGCCAGGATGCGACTGGGTGGAAGAATGGCCTAGCCAGGGTACGGGATTGCCTGCAATCGGGTGGGCGGAGGCCACACCCAGCCCAGGCCAGCTGTACCCGATAGGCTAGGAGCAGGTGCGGTTTTAAAATCCTAGCGCCAACTGGGTGAGGCCGGGTGGAAGAATGGCCAGGGTGCGACCGGGTGGAAGAATGGCCAGGGTGCGACCGGGTGCAAGAATGGCCAGGGTGCGGCTGGGTCTGGGCTCATTTCTCTTTTCGTGTGTTGGCTGTCAAGAGGGGGGGGAGGGGGAAGGGGGCTCTAAAGTGGTTGTGAAGGGGCTAAAGCGGTCTAGAGAAGGGGTGCCTTAGTCTGATTCTGTTTTCTTTTCTTTCTTTTTATCTTCGAATCCGGGAGGAACTCGGATGTGACGCTCACCCAAACGCTGTTCGTACTGCAATTCTACACAACATATTCTTTTTCTGAACTTTTTTGAGTTTTTTTTTTTGTTTTGTTTTCTTTTGTTTTGCGCTGGGGCTGCTCGGGAACCCTGCCCGGGGTTCACGCCCAGCCGGGCACCTGGGAGTGTCTGGGAAGAGATCCGGTGCCCGGGCGCCCGGCAAAACAGCCTAGTTTATTTATCTATTTCTTAAATTATGTATTTAATTCCCTTTGATTCTTGGCACCTGGTGAAATTTACAGAATAATAATGGAATAATATTATATTAATATTATAATGATGAACCAATCAAAGCCTTCTCTTTCCTTATCCACACATGGATAAGGGCACTAGGTTTCTTTTTATCTTTTTTACGAGTTTTTTTTTCTTTTTTTTTTCCGTGTTTATCACGGGCCCAGTGCCCAATGCAAAATACATAAATGAAAACGTCCTGCAAGTTCAAAGGGTATCGGCCTTTTATTTTATTTTTTCCGGTTCCTTGGTGAGTGCTTCGTATGCTTTTTTATTTTTGTTGCCTATAATGTCGAAAATTGAGAGAGAGAGAGAGAGAGAGAGAGAGAGAGAGAGAGAGAGAGAGAGAGAGAGAGAGAGGTTGGCTGGACATGTACTCGCTTGGAGTTTGTTGATAGCTTGTGAAAAAGGAAAGGGCAAAAAAAAAAAAGAAGGCAAAGCTTAGTCAAGGTTGGCTGGACATGGACTCAACTTAGGCTTCCTTTCCTCTTTTGTAAGGGTTGATGCTGAAAATTGACACCTATTTAATATGATTTATTATCTATCTTAAAAAAGAAGCAAAAAAACGTGTGGCATCGATCTATGTGATGTCGAAAATTGACACCTATTTAATACATATTACATCTATATATTTTTTAAATGATTAAAAAAAGGTTTGACCTCCATCTATGTCCTGCTGAGGCCTGCTCTTTATATGTTGTAATAAAAAAACTTGTAATTGTATTTTTAATATTTTTTAATATTTTTATGCAGAGGCCAAAGGACACCGGCAACAGAAAGGCCCAAGGTCACTTCAGAATATTTGCATTGGCTTCCTAGGCGCTCATCTCGAGGAGCTTGTTGATGACCTTGACTTTCTAGCGTCCTTTCTTCCATCCGAAATCAAGGTAAGATGAAGATGAAGAAGAAGAAGAAGAAGAAGAAGAAGAAGAAGAAAGAAAAGAAAGAAGAAAAAATAAAGCTGAAATTTTGTTAAAAAAAACGGCTTACTTGGATGTATGAAAAATATCACAAGGACTATAGCATGCCGGTAAGTAATTCATCAATATCAATTCATGAAAATTGCAAGTGAAAAGGTGTATGGATAAATAAAAACAATCGATTACTGAAATTACAGGTCAAGTAAATATGCCAGACTTTACTCAGAAATCAATAACATAGGAAAAGAACAAAAGAAAAGAAAAAAGGGAAAAAATGAAGGGCATCCGAAATCAAGGTAAGGTGAAGAAGAAGAAGAGGAAGAAGAAGAAAGAAAAGAAAGAAGAAAAAATAAAGGAAAAAAAACAAAAGAAAAGAAAAAAGGGAAAACATGAAGGGAAAAAAACAAAAGAAAAGAAAAAGGAGTACCCATTGTGTGCGCATAGCTAGTTGTTGCTGTTAGGAATATTTGAATTAATTTCTTGTGATATTTTTTTGACGGGAGGCGGACTGGAGGCCGTGCAAACAGACTGCAAACAGCGATGAGCTCAATGACTAGATCGTAGAATCAGGAGAAATTAATTGACGGATGAGCTCAATTAGTGGTCGGATTGATCGATTCAATCATTTCAATGATTACTTCTTCCATGAAAGAAATCCAGCAATTTTTTGATGTAAGAACGAGTGGCGATGATGGTATATGTTACTAATATTTGTATGTGTCAACATCTATATCGGGTGGCGACCCGGACCGCTGTTCGCACGTTCGTGCCTATATTCTACATCCTCCTGGCCACTACGCTGCTCTTGTCCGTGACTCTGGTTCTTTGGATTATGGAATGGCGGTGCTATGGTGCAAGCTATTACTGCAATCTGTGATCTCGTGCGTAATTACCCTAACCTGCAACCTCTCTCTCTCTCTCTCTCTCTCTCTCTCACAGAAAAAGGACCTGCAACTGTTCCAGGTCATTGACCCTATGGGTACCTCATGTACTTCCATGCACGCCTGTACGCCTATCTCTGTGCCTGCCTCCATACCTGTCTCTGTGCCTGTTTCTGTGTCTGTCTCCTTCCAGATTACTGACCCTATGGCTACCTCGTGTACTTCCGTCGCGGCCTCTGCACCTCTCTCTGTGCCTGCCTCCCGACCTGTCTGCATGCCCGTTTCTGTCTGTCAACGTGCCTACCTCCATGTCCCCACATGCTGCACTAACACCTTGTGACCTCCTCCTTTGTGAGATCACTGGCACAGTTACACTTGCTTGTGCAAAGCATCGGCTTTGTTGACATCACTACAACCGTGCAATTTTCCGGGCCCGCTGTCGGCAGGGATGCCACCTGTATCCGGATTGTGAACATCCTCTACATCCAGATGCAGTATGTCTCATCTGTGCCTGCGGGCGCTATAGCGAATGTACACTTAACTGTGATGGTGATGAACGCCCCACGATCGTCATGGCCTGCAACCGGCATGCCCTTTGCCGTGCATTCTTCAGAGGTTTGGTTGATGCTAGCCGCCCTGGCTCCTGCTGTTACGGCATTGCTTACCTGAATGGTTTTCGCCCTGTAGATCAGCGGGAGGGCTGCTACCATCGCCCGCATCCTTATGACAGTTGTCCTCCCCTAAAAAAAAAAGAACAAAACCCATGGAAGAATATTCTACGTTATAGCCTGCAACTAACTCAGCTTCCGCTTCTGGTAAATCAAAAGGAGCACGATTCGTTTCCGCTAAACAAGAAAAATAAAAAAACAGAATCAATAAAGGAAAAAGGGGAATACCAAACCATATTGTGAGGGTCTTTCCTAGACGTACCTTGCACCCTGACAAAAATGTGCAGGTGCGCTGAAGAGAGTGTACAAGAATGTGCAAAGGTGGGAAACCCTTCGCTAAAACTGCAAAACGGTGAAGTCAAGAATGCAGTAAAAGAAGAACATAAGTTTGTGTCATTTTGCTTTGTTTGTACCCTGCACCCGAACACCCTCAAAGAAAAAGTCCGAAAGGTGAAAATTCAAAATTGAGAATAAAAAATGAAGAAGGAAGTGCAGGTGTGCTGAAAAGCGAACATGGTAGACTCTTCACCAAAACTGCAAAAATGTGAAAGAAAGGAGAATGAAGATGTTTGTGTCACCTTTTTTTTTTTTTTTTTTTTTTCTCCCTCTGCCTATCGGTTTTCGTTTTCTGCTCCTCTCTTCCTTGTGTTTAACACCTCTTCCTTCACTCTGCCTCTTTCCCATAGCGTGCAAGTGGGATGCTATGGCATACGGGGATGGGGGCAGCTTGCGCTCAATCAACGTGGCGAGCCTTGTACGTTAGAGGCACGGTGGAGGAGGCGTTAAAAAGACTGAGAAACTGAATGATTTCAATGTGTCTTTGTTTTTGATTTTTAATATCCTTTGTTCAGTTTTTTTTTTTTTGTAAAACACTGAAAGAAATAAGAATACAGTGAAATAAAGAATAAGAGGACACTGTTTTGTGTCATTCTAGTTTGTCTGTCTCTTTGCCTGTCTGTCCTTTCATTTTTCTTTTCTTCGCTCATCTTATTTCTTCTTCTACTTCACGTGCTTACGCTCTTAGTCAATAGTTCTGTCACAATCAGCAACATGTCAAGGGTGCCATTGCCACTCTGCTTTCACAGATCCCAGATCCCAGATCCCATCTCTCTCTCTCTCTCTCTCTCTC